TTTTTGGCTTTTTTAAAAAGGAAAAAAAGCCAAACAAGTTAAAAAAGTTATAAAAGTTTAAAAAGTTAAAAAAAAGTTAAAAGAATTAAAAGAGTTAAAAGAGTTAAAAGAATTAAACAAGTTAAACAATTAACGATTTAACTTTTTATTAACTTTTTTTAATTCTTTTAGTTTTTTTTAGTTTTTTCTGCGCTTTCTGGTAATTAATTATTTTTCAATTTATTTGATTTTTTAGCTTTTTAACTCTTTTAACTTTTTTAAAAAGTTAAAAAAGTAAAAACGTTAAAACAACTAAATAAATGAAACATCTAGAAAAATCAAAGCAGAACCCGTCAAATAGACCCAAAAGGTCCTACATACATAGGGGTTATATTGGGATAATGGAAAATGCAATGTAGGGAGACTGCAAGGGGAACATGTGTTTTTTCAGAACCTCCCACATTCCACTGGTGGGGGCTTTACAGCTTGTTCCCTGAGCTCCCACTCAAAAATAGTTTAGGCTGCAGTTTGGTGCAAGGATTGGGATGTTCGGTTTATGTAGAGGTTCCTGCTGTGGATGCTTGGATTTTCGCACAGATGGTGCTACAACGGGAAAGACGACTCTGTGATGACTTGCGAGCGCAGGGTCAGTAGGTGACTTGGGGCTAGCTGACGCCTTGAAGGTCCAGAGGGCAAGGCCCTTCAAAAGCCTAAAGTTAAGGTTTGGGTTTGGGGTTGTGAGTGGCCGAGGCCAGGCAAGTCTGAGAGGGATAATGCACTAGCCCGGCCATGTACCGGTTGCAGCTTGGCGTTTTGATTCGATGGGAGGCTTGCAGTCTAAACCCAGATCGCTGGAATCCCCAGCCTCACAAAGCCGAAAGCTTTGGGCGCGGCCTGCCCTTATAAACTAAATGTGGTTTTTTGGGTCTCTTTCAAAACAACGGCTCTCTTTGAGCGGCCCCATTTCACGTTTCCTGTTTGCGTAGAGGGATTTCCCGCAGGAAGTTCTGCGCCGTGTGAACGACATGGCCTCTGAGGCTCCGGAGCACAGTCATCCCAACGGTCCTAGCAGGAGATTGAAACATCGGTTCTGTTTCAGACTCAATAGGTACCCCCAAGGTTGCTGGGAAGGAACTATGGAAGTGTCTGCAATTCCAGGACTTCGGTTGGTCTCCACCAATAAGGATCCCTGATTGTTAGGAGTGCAGCGATTTCATGAGGACTGTTACTTGAGGTGTTGCCAAGTTGCAGTAGGTCACTTGCCAGAACCGCTTTCCAGATCCGCGTTGCAATAGGAGCTTTACACACAGATCTGAATTTTCAGGAATGCCCAGGCCCGGAACATGTTGAGAGTTGAAGCTGTTCGATCATATGTTGTTTGGTTTTTGCTTCTGTCGGAAACCATGGCATGTACAAGGGGCTTTGACTGGAATAGTCCGTTAGTGTGATTCAAGATTTGGTGCCAGAAGTTCAGGGATTTTAGGGTTCTAGAAGCTCATGAGGCTTAAGGGGCACATCAATTTGAGGTGTTGGATTTCTTCAGGAATCTATATGGGCGATCTGTGGGTCGTGACCGGATCTGGAGATTTTTGAAGAGCTCTGTGTGGCAACTAAACCAGGGCTTCCTCCATGTGGAAGAGCCAGCAGTATCCAGATCAGAACAGAATTGCCTCCACGATCTTGGGGCGAAGCCTCCTATTGCAATCTGCCACTGCAGCGGGGAAGTTGCGTGTACCACCTGACTCCAGATCGGGGTGTGATAGCTTGAGCATCACAAACAGATATCCCTACATGAACTTCCTAGACCTCCAGTCGTCACCCCCTCCCCCACCACTCCGCAAACCCCCTTGAGGTCTCCAACGGCCAGGCCCTGCCGGACCAGGTGGTGAAGCAAGCTGCCGTGCAGGCGGAGCTCATAAGCTGGGCCAGGTATTTTCAGAACCCACATATTGGGTGGTATGGAGCTTTTTGAGTTCTGCAACATACCCACCAAACTGCACTGCCTGAGCAATGAAGTGTTTTTGGAGCTCCAGTGGGATGCCCTGATAATCCTGATCAGTCTTCAGGGATTTTCAGAGCCCCGACATTGCCTCTGCTTTCAAACACGCGGTCTGATTCCGTGCCTCCCGATGAACTCAGCAAGAATCACAAGCTATATCATAGCTCTGCCAAGGGCACGAATGATTTGAAGATATAAATATACTTGCAAGGTCCTTCCTCGCCCTGCAGGTTCTTGCGGCCCTGGCAGCCACCGCAGCTCCTTTGGCTGCCAAGGCCGACGATGTTCCACAGCTGCAGCCGCAGCCCCAGAGTGTTACCGCCGAATCTCGTACGTTTTGGGGGTTGGAGTTTAGGGCGTAGAGCCTAGGAATTTGCAGGTGTCATGTGTTGAGGGAATGCCGGTTAGCACTACACATACAGGGTGAATGCGGGTTCCAGGCGTTTTGGCTATATGTTAAGGGAACACAAGTCTTTCCCAATCGTCTCGCAACATTCTGAGATGCCCAGGAGAACCCTCCCACCATTTCCAGTTTACCCTCAACTGCACCTACCTCCTGACCTGCCCATATGGAAGTCTCTCAAAACAATCCCTGTGTACATGTTAGTCAGGACAAAGCTTCCACATGTCCTTACCACAGGTCCATGGGAACTCCCCAGATGCAGATGCAGCAGCCCGGCGGTGGCGGCTTCCAGCGTGTGACCGGCTCCTCGCCAAAGGTACCGTAGAATCTAGAATAGCTTTGGCACGAATAAGAGTACTTATAACAACAAGAATAAGAATATGGATAATAAGCGTAACGATCATAATAAGACTAATAATACTCATCACAAATTACAATAATCATAATTTATAGACGCCTGTATGACTTGTCCTTCAGATTTCTGTTGCGTGTAAGCAGAGATAGGCAATTCCTCCGATTCCTATCGCACCGCGGTCCCTAAACCATGGTCCAAATTCATCGCCATGAGCTTTTCGACTGCAAGGCCGAGTTACCTACTCGCGTCTGTTGGAGTTCGTCGATGAGGCTGCTTGTGGTCTGGGATTGCGTGGGGGCACCTTCGCCATCCACAGGTGGTGTGTCTTTGCTGGTATTGTTGTGTTTGCAAGATAGTGGTTGTTGAAGCGTCTTGGTGGGTTTAGTGGGAAGACTGCGGCGCTTTGAAGACTCACAGGTGCTGAGATGCCTTGGGCGGTAGGGGAGCCTCCCTGTGGTTCCAGTCCATGAGGGATTCCCAAGCTGGGGCGCAGTTCGATTCAGTATTCTGAACGACCTTAAGACAAACAAGAAACCAACAACAAGAACAACACTGGGGCAGCAACAGAACCCCGCGCCTCCTGGTTTAGTCTTGGCAGGTCCGTCCAGTCATTGCCACTTTATTTAAAAACTGCCTCCTCCGATCACCAGAGGAAAACTACCGACAAGCGCAATTTCCTAAGTAGTTCGGTCAGAGTGCTTTCTTTTCCATTCCAGATGACGAGTTGAACCGATAATCCCTCGATAGCCTACCGAGAGCACATTTGAGCACTTGAGACCCTTGGGCAGCTCATGGCCCGGCCCACGCCACGGCTATACAGTGATACGACTAAACCCGCCGGTTTGCAACACTCAACCACAACCAGCCCAATGCTACAGTTCACTACGGTAACATGTGCTGAGGCTCTTGGATATGTCCCTGAAGAGCAAACCCCCAGTAAGAGGAAACCAGGCACAAGTCTTGTGGATCATGCACATGCGCAGCACACTTGCAAAAAATGATACTGCCGTCCCAACCCTACATTTTCCAATCAGGCCACAACATAACCTTACAGAATCCCTTCCTCTTGGCCCCACATACCCCCTACAACAACCTTATCTATACCAGGGCTCCGTGAAGCGGGTGGACTTCTATGATTTGGGACGCACAGCCGTGGCCACTGTCTCGGTGGGCGGCCGTGAGCAGCCACTGGACCGCTGTTGGAGGGGATGTGGCTGGAAAAAGAAGAAAGACGTGAATCTATGGGGGGGGATAGGGAGAACTAATGGAAAAGAAAAATGGAGACTGCAACATATGGCTTAGGGTTTATAATAGGGTTAGTCAGATTTACTAAGCATCTGTGTAGTTCCAGTTTCAATTTCATTTTCCATGTTCTCTTCTATGTGGTTTTAGTATGGATTCCAGGGGAGGGCCGTATGCAGGGTGTTTGAGAAGGGGACTATTTGCGTGGTTTAACCACTGCAAACACCCCTCATGCGGAGTTTATCGGGAGTATTAGTTGGATTCCAAGCTTGACGGATCGCATCCAGTCAAGAGTAGCATCAGCAACGGCTCGGTATATGTTTACGGCAAACTTGACGTTCATCACATCTCCGAACGGCTGCTCACCAGGCGTTTGTGCTGTTATGCCATGGCAGGGGTAGCCCTGATGTATCATGTTATATACCGAAGTCCATAAATTATGTCAGCAAATCTGAACCCTGAAGCCTGTTTGAAGCACCCAAGGGGTCTGCGGCAAGACATCAGGTTGTACAGGTTGAGTTAAGCGGAAAACCCCAAGTGCAAGCAGGCTGATTCAGCTAGAGAACCCTTGAATCACCCACTGCTACGCTCCAGACCAATCCGTCTTAACGTTCAAAGTGGTATCTGAGGCCCTGGGACACAATCGTTGACTGCAAGCCTTGAGACCCCAAGCCCTCCGAACAAGAACCCAGCCTCGCCTCCACTCAGGCAGCTCGTCTGCGATCTCCCAGGAGCCACCACAGGCAAGCTTCTGAACTTAAGGCTTAGCTGCGCTTAGGTAGGACCTATAGCTGGGTGGATTTGAAATGTGTGGGTCCCTCGGCGTTGACTCCCAGGACTAGGATGTTGACAGGAGATCGATTTGTCATACACTGGAAGCTGGTGTCCTCCTTGTCTTGCCTTGCATTTGCCCTTATTTGCGGAAACCGCGAGTGCAACAAAAGAACGAAGATGCGCAAAGGCATCCCATCAAGCCTTTGTCCTGCAAGTGTGGATATGGGTCAGGCCTCTTGTGCTTTCTTTATGGTTCCCCAACATTCTTGCGACTGCTCATGAAGCCTCCTACATTGCCAGGTAAGGACCATGAACCGCACCTTTCTGGCTAACGCTTAGTACTCAACGCGAACACAGAATCACCGGGTCAAGGAAGTGATGTCCCTTGCGCATCAGAGATGGATGTCCCAAACTAGAAGCACTTACTTGGCTGAGCCATCTCTCATCCTTCTGCTGTATGGAGCTCAAGGGTGGGATCCCTCTCAAGACGGTGACTTTCAAGCGAAGCAAGCAACACTTGCTCATTATGTCTCTTGGATTTCGTGAATTCTCCGATTCCAAAATCTTTTTTAAGCCCTACCACTCCAAACCCTTGTAGCCTTGCAGGTCTCATCGAGAAGCTGACGGCCAAGGGCATCTCCATCGAGGTTCATCAGCCTGCACCTTGCCCAGATTATGGATGGTGATGATCTTGTTCCTTTGTGTTGAACGCTGCAGCTTGGGTCTCCTTGTGGTTGCTTTCTTGTTTCAATCTCTGCCATTCTTGCGGAAGCTCATCACTAGCAATAACACCTGCCGCCCCGAAACTATGCATGCTTGATGCTGGGCTGTCTAGCACGACCTTCCAGAATTAAGCCATTCGCTTTATTTTGTTGAGCATGGTGTTGCAGACCTATCTGGGTCGTGTAGGCTTTGTGAAAGGCATCCACTTTCGTGTATTGTCTCCACTGGACCAGGGGCTGGGAGATCGCATCCCAGGCAGTTCCACAGGTCTTTTAGGACTTAGCCTGAGCCTCCAAACCAAGCTAGGCAAAATACCGCGCACCACAACTTTCAACAGCACGAAATTGTCATTCTCACAATGTCAGGAGAAGCCGAATCCCTTGTTCAACGTGCTGGGTGACGTGGCTTTCCCCCTCCTGCTCATCGCAGGTCGGGGTACGTTCGGTTGTGAGCATTTCTTCCAACATCAGGCATTCCTGAGAGCTGCAACGGTTATGTCAGGTACAACAGCGGGAAAGGTTGGGAGCGTATCACAATAGAGATTTGTCGCAAGGTACAGGGAAATTCTTTGCATGCCGTCGTGTGATGTGCAAGTCATGGTCAGCCCATGACAGCACATAAGCTGGGGGTTAGTGTCCACAGGGCCTAGGGCCGTTGACAGACACATTTTGGGTGGCCTTGGGATGGCATTCCTGTCAGCAGCTGCTTTACGCGTTTTCTACTGCTTGCTTCTGCTTGCCGCACCCGGAAAACCAAAAGCTTTAGCCGGCAGCAACCACGTAAAACTGGAACCCTGTCATCTTAAACCTTCTTATAACCCCAAATCCTGAATTACATCCAAGACCCTGATGTGTTCAATACCAAGCAAAGCAAATGCTTCCAGACCTGAAGCATGCAAACCCCAAAATCCCTGAAGTCTACAAGCCCCAGCCACTGCACACAGCCCCCATCAAACCCTCTCCCCCAAACCCCTAACCCCTAAACCATCCTAAACCCTTAAACGCCTAAACCCTAAACCATCCTAAACCTTTAAACGCCTAACCAAAAACCCTAAACCCCCAAAGCCTAAATCCTAAACCCTTAGACTTAAACCCTTCAGGACTCCTTTTCCTCCGCTCGCGTGCTCCGGGTGGCGGTGGCATTCCAGGCTTCGGCAACCAGGGTCAGGCCAAGATCATGTGCCCCGGGCTTCAAGATTAGGGTTTAGGATGGTTTAGGATGGTTTAGGGTTTAGGGATGTAGGGTGTTTGCGGTGTCGTTTTTGAGGCGTCAGTTGCGGTCTAGGTTGTACGGTGCAGCGGTTTGGGGGGTGTCATTGGTCAGGGATTTGGGCTTTGTGAGGATGAGTTTGGGAGAAGTGTTCTTGAGAGATTCTGTAGTCTTCAGTTCGACCAGTCTAGTTCAAGCTGGGTTTCTCAGAATGGGAGGCCCCAGAGACCCTGGCTATACATGGGCGTTATGTGGAAATGTTGGGATCTCCGCGTTAATTAGATTTGGACTTTGGGGTTCCGTGTTCTTTGGTGAAGGGGGAGGCAAGGGAGGTGACCATGTAATGAGGTCTTTACGTAGCTCTATGTCTATATATATATATACACATACATGTTAACATATTATGGGGTATATAATGCCTTTGGGGGTGTGGGGGGTGGAGATATTGATATAGATTGGTGTAGAAGGCTTACGTGAGATACTCCCCAAAGTAATTTTCCTGAAAGTGAGGTACAAATAAAGTTCATTTGTTCTTGACTACAACTGGGATCATACTAGGGCGCTGGTGGACTGCAGTACAGGTAGATGGAAACGAACATGAAGGTATACCGCATATAGATAGTCAAGACTCTGTGTCAGGTTTTCAAGTCAAGTGAGAGAGGCCCCTCACTTCTGAGTCTCGTCAAGGAATCTCTGAATGCCCTGCCAGAAACGCAAAACGATGCTCCAAGAGGGTCCTTTAAGCGTGAGAATTGGAGGATCAGTGCACGGATCCAACAAAGGAATCAGACACCAGGACTAGAAGTTTAGCTTGAACTTGATGTATCGAGCTGCGATGCTGCAATGGTTTTCTCGGGAAAATGTGAGATGTAGGGTGACTCAATATACCAGGAGCGAAGGTTTCTGCTCTCGTCCTGCATGCCCCTGGATGATATCCAACAGCCTAAGTTTGAGTCCGTTTGTGCAAGCATCATCAGCTTACCCCGCATGAAGCCGAAACCCCTAAACACAGCAATGCCATAGCACATTGAACCTGAAACCAGAACACCGTAAATCCTGAATTTCAAAATGCGGATCTCAGTCCAGAGCCTAGGATTACGCCTGAGACCGGTGTCAAGTTTGAGGACGTTGCCGGCATTGACGAGGCCCAGGGAAGTTATGTCAGCTAGATAGAATTCACTCTAGTGGCTACATGGGGCGTCACAGAGGGTATGTAGGGGCTGTAGGGGTTATGTTTATAGTCTCCTCCTGTTGGGCACAAGTCATGCGGTGACCAGCTTTCAGTACGATCAGATGTAGGTGTGTCCCCACCAAGCTGGACCTCTTTGGGGGATCTACTTCTAAAGGCAAACCAGACACGCGATTTGTGTACGGCAACCGTGGACAGAAAGATATATCGTAGGTCTGAACAAGGTGTTGAACATGCGGCTGGGTTCATAACATCTTTGTTGCTGCCACAAGCGTTCACCTACTTTTAGGTATCAAGCGATACAAATATGCTTCCAAAGTTTCTACTCTGGAGCCCTCAAGGCAGTGGCTACCTAATGTTTCCACCGAGCGGTTTCTGCCCCAAGCCCGCAGACACCGACATTCATGACTGAAAAGCTCCAGTCCAACCCTTCCCGAAGGCCAAGGAGGAGCTTATGGAGATCGTCGACTTCCTGAAGGCCCCGGAGCGCTTCGTAAAGGCCCGGAAGGATGATCGTTTGAAGCGCTGATCCCTGAACTTGACGCTAGAATAAGGGGGAACTATTATGATCACAGGGAGGGTTGTGGCAGCATTTGCAAAAAGGATTGCCAGCTGTTGGATGATCACGACCGTACGTGGCCATCTTCGCAATTCTAGTACCTGGCAGTGCTGACTTTCTCAGGCGAAAGGGAATGTAGAATTGAGGGATTACATTCCCTTTTTCCCTACTAAAAGCCAGTAAGCTTTGTTGCCTTCAGCGGTGACCCTCTGACATGAGCACTCGCGGACATGATAGGCGTGGCGTGCGCACGATCGCATCGGGAGCAGCCGTGAAATTGAATTGATCTGGGGTTCCACAGAACCCCAAAGAAACATGGTAGTTTCCCGAAATAGGAGGACCCCAATATAGCCCCCAACAAACGAGAATCCTCATAGGGGCCGCGAAAGAGGTACCCCCAACTTTGGGAACCCCCGCACAATCTCGCCGAAAAGTGCTTAGAACAGTAGTAAAACTCATGTATATGCTTGTACACCCCGCATCAGTTTCTGAAATCCCTGCCACATAGTCAAGGAAAACACCTTGTAGAGGGATGTACTGCGCGCTTTCAGGGACCCCTGACAACAGTGACAGTCCGCAGTTAATGGCAGCTGCAATCAGGTAATGATAGCAATGATGCTACTTGTAGTGGTCATAGGAAGAGTTATCGCAATAGTATCCGTTGCAGTAATAGTGAATGCTGCGGGCAGGTTGGCGCCAAGATTCCGCGAGGTGTGCTGCTCACGGGCCCTCCCGGAACTGGTAAGACTTTGATGGCCAAGGCCTCACCAGGGACAGATTGTGCTAGAAGGAGAACAGGAACATGTGTGTGTGTGTGTGTGTTTT